CAGTTAATGTTATTTTAAGCAAAAAAGTTTAAATAAAATAAATAAAGTTAAAAACTTACAGCTAATGGGATACCAAGAACAGCAAAGAGACTTAAAGCACCAGCTTTAACACCAGAACTCGGTCCGGCATAATCACCGGCGACTTTCCGATGATCCTCCGCGAATTTCGTGACGAGAACCGTCATGGCTAAACCGGCGGCGAGTATGAAATTCACCATCCCCCAAAGCCTTTTAGCTCCACCAACTTTCTTACCAATCCATTCAATACCAAGTGACATAAAACCAAGAACAATTGCATTAAACATTAAACCTAATGCACCAGAGTGTACTCCTTGGTTGTATAGTTTCTTCAATCTCTCATCGCCTTCGGATTTACCACCGTACACTTCACGACCCATCCAATCAGTATCGAACAAAAGAAATGGGAACCATGCGATCCAGTTTAAAGCAGTGACTATCAAAAGCATCCACATGGGTCGTTGCATCACTCTAAAAGCACCAAAGATCTCTCCAAAGAACGGTACACTCGGCGCTTTCTCGCCGTCTTCTCCCGGCGCAGGAGACCATTGTTTGTCCTTTACGTACCATAGAGACGTCACTGTGACGATTAACAAGAGAGTGATAGATAAAAAGAAACACGTTTTGAGATTTGCGCAGTAAATATCGCAAGCTTTCGTCATTGTGAAAGGGAACATTTTGTGTAGGTTGGTGTAGGAACCAGCCGCGTAACCCAAAACGTTACCAACCGCCATAAAAAACGAAAAGAACGAGTTTGCGACTCGCGTTTTTTTAGCGTCTCCACCGGCTAAATCGGCTAAAAAAGCACGACAAGGCCCTTGTAAGGTGTTGTTGGCAACGTCGAGGATCCAGAACCCGAGGGCGAAGATCCCTATGGCTCGGACCTTCGGCGTTCCCTCGAGTTTATCACCCATCTTGTGGCCAAGATCGGCCGCGTAACCGATCAAGAAAACGGCTACGGCGACTAGGAAGGCACCGGAGGCGATGAAAGGACGACGGCGACCGAATCTTGATGTGCATCGGTCGCTGTAGTAACCGACGATTGGTTGGACAATCATACCGGAGACTGGACCACATAGCCAGATCAGAGAGGACCATTTGTGTGGTATACCGAGGAGTTGTACGTAAGGAGTGAGGAGGGAGAGTTGTAGGGCCCACCCGAATTGTACACCGGCGGCGATGGAAGCGACGGAGATGATTTTACGGAGAGGAGACGGCTGATCGAAATCTTCCGGCGAAGACTGAGTCTCTAGAGCCGCCGCACCATTTGCGGCTTTTTCTGATTGAAGAGCTCCCATTTATGAGAAAAAAAAAACACACACGAATAGACAAAATGTGAAATTTTTAGAGGAAAAGAAAAGAAAA